TGATTAGTCAGCACAAATAACGTTAGCCAAAATATACCTCCTCCTCCTACATGTGTAACATGACAGATTATCACAGATTTAGATAACCAAAGTGAACGTAAACAAAAACCTGTTGTTATCGTTAACTTGTGGTTCCTGGAGTTTCTAAAAGTAGAATGGGAGGCAGAGCTTTCATTTATCAAGCTCCTCTCTTGTGGAACCAACTTCCAGTTTCTGTCCGTGAGGCTGACACTCTGTCTACTTTAAGATCAGACTGAAGGTTGGGTTGTGGGACGTAGGAGTGGGCTGGAAAGGTGTGCTGATCAGCCCAGTGTTGGCAGAGTACTCTCATGACACTTTGGACGTCTTGGATTTGGCTTCCCTCGGTCCCACGACCGCCCAATGACCTCAAAATGGCAGAACACGGTCAGGAAAAGTTCTAAAARGTGTGTAAAGTTTGGTGGACCTGCGAGACCTCAAATTTAWAACAATAAATTTCTAAGCATCTTAGAGGTTTGACCTTTCTGTACCWTGTCTGGGAAGTTATTATCCATTTATTGTTATCGAGGTGAACTGCTTAGTATATCGTGACACTGATTTTGTGTTATATCACCCACCCCTACTGTCAGTGTTTATATTACCTGTTTCATCTTCAGTTGATTTCAGCTAACTTCAACAGTCTGTCAGCATTTGGTTGGTAAACAGGTCCATGTTTTGTGTGATATGTTCCAGGTTGTCCACCAGTATATATCAGCTCCATAACTTCCGTCTGATGATGAAGGAGCAGAGGTAACAGGAGGAGGAGCTCCAGGAGGCCAACAGGCAGCTCTTCTCACCCAATCCAGAGTTCTGGACTTCGGACCCGTCCCATTCCGGTGGACGATGAATGATTATTGTGCTTCTTCTCYTCAGATCACTCTGAACACTTCACCCCACAGCGCTTCAGCTCTGCTGCCCCACTCTTTCCCCTGACACGCTTTGGTTTCTTCTGATGAAGTTTGTGGTGACCAACAAGCTGGAGGAAGTCGCACACAGAACGGACCAACTTCCCCCTGTCTAACCTCGCACCATGACTCACAACCTTCAGACTTGATCCTGGACAAAAAGGGAAAACTCAGTTTCAGTGAAGACCTCCGGTCCAAATGACCAGACTGCAGCTGCCTAGTTTCATTGCATTTGCTCTGTTTTTTTGTTTTTGTCTTTTCTCCAGTTYACTGTTAAGCTCCCAGCTTAAAGTTAATGTTTTGGACCAGTTTCTATTTGTTTCAGTGTAGGACGAAGTGTTTGTGTCCACGTGTCTGTGGTCAAGTTTTGCACAAGCTGTGTGTGTGTGGTCCATGCAGAGCTTCAGAACCCAGGTGCAGCAGATGTTTTCAGATACTGACCTGTCAGATCTGTCTGCTACAGCCTTAAGGGTAAAGATTAGTTTCCCTTTTTTTTTATTTCCCTACATCTTTAAGTCAATATTTAAAGTTGCAAAGGAACCTCTTACTAAAAGATTTCATCATTTCTTCTTTTTATAAGAACTATTTTACAACCTGTTGAACCCTCTCCATCCTGGAACATCACACACATGAAATGCTTTTAGGATTTCAGTTAGATTTCATGTCCATTGTCYAAATCTGACGTTTGTCATAGGAAGAAAAACAATACAGCAGGATGGAACTCTTAGTGTGTGTGTGTACTTGTTTTTGTTACCTATTTAGGACTGTTTCCAGTATACACACCTACCTTGCCAAGACCAGAAGTCCTAATGGCGACCAAAGGCTGGTCCTAATATGGTGGAACTCCATTGGTGGGTTGGGGGTTGGGTTTAGGACCAAGGTATGAGTTGAGTTTAGGTTAGTTTTAGGGTCAGGTAGGTACCTGTGAGGTTAGCCTTAGGGTTTGTGGTCAGGGTTAGGCTGTAGAAATGAATGGAAGTCAATGAACGGTCCTAATAAGGATAGAAATACAAACCTGTGTGTGTGTCCTTGTTTTTACTACTTGGTGGGGACGATTTTCCCAGAAAATGCAGCCTTGTGGGGACCAAAGCCCGGTTCCCACGACTTCAGAGGCTAATTTTGAGTGGGGGGTCAGTTTTAGGACCAAGGTGTGAACTGAGTTTAAGTAAGTTTTAGGGTCAGGTTAGTCCAAACTGACAAGAACGTTGAATCCACAATGATGCACTAATCCTTCACTGTGGATTCTCGACGTTCATTGGTGGCCTCGGTCAATCCGAGAGAACCCCGAGTTGGTAGTCAACCAGGTTCAAGGTAGTTGAGATGTTAAGTAGCTAATTGCTAGCTAGTTAACTGCTGTACCATAGTAGCGAACCGTATATACACCACATCGGTTTGGTCAGAACCGGGACTACCACGCCAGCCCTGCCGTCGGGGTTCGAACCCGCTACCTTTGCAATCAGACACGTATGGAGCATTGCGATAAACCCATTCTTGCGCAGTATGCTACAGGAGAGGCTGCCACAACATTTGACCCAAAGTACCCTGGGAAATCCAACAATACATGAAGATATGGAATTGGCCGAGGGTGGTTTCGAGCCCTGGTCTCCCATGTGACAGGTGGGCACCCAGCCCGCTATACTATGTCACCATGAATACCTGTAACCATAACCTGTGAGGTTAATTTTAGGATAAATGGTCAGGGTTAGGARATAAAATTTCTAAAAAAAATGAACAAAAGTCAATGGAAAGTCCCCACAAGGAAATTTTGTGTAATTTCTGTTTAGTACAACATGACATACTGTATGAATATTGGTGTGTTGAACATGAACTCATTTTAGGATTTTCACAAATTTATCTTGATGTTTCTCAGAGAATATTCTTGAACATYAAATCGGATGCAGTGATTGGTCCGTGCTGTGGGTTTTCTAATGATGTCATCCAGGATCAGCTTCGTAAATCAGCTCTAAGACTGACACTTAAGATTTAATCCTACACTTAGCTTAAAGTGAGACAAATGCTTGATAAGTAACTTTGAAGCTCAGCTTTTAGCAAATTATTTCTTTAGACTTCAGTTTGATAAATCCAGACCCTGGACTACAGAAGACCTTTCAGGATGGGACAGGAGGATGTTAGATGTCTTGAAATAGGAGTCTGGTGTTTGTGAATCTAACTGAAACTGGATTAAATCTTGTGTTCTCAGTTGTGTTGATGTTTCCACATTTGGAGCTTCAGTCATTTCTCTTCACAGGTTTCTTTGTGACCATAGAAAAGGCCAAAGAGTTTTACGTTGCCTTTCTTTCCATTTGATGTTTTATGTTTATGGTCAGGAGCTTTGCTCTGATTGGTTTGAGACTTACTGTTACTGTTGGTTTTAAAGTTGAGTTTACTGTTTGACTCTTTAACTTAAAGTAGAATAAAGAACATGAAAGAAAAAGTGCATCCTATGCTCTGTTTCTGTGTTTGTCTTCTTTATGGAACTAAACTAAAAATTAAAACTCAACACGTCACCATTTTTCTCAGTAAATATATTACTAGAGGTACTAATGACATGAAATTTTCACCAGATGTCGGTAACAACCCAAGTGATCCATACATACAAAGAAATCAAACCATAAATGCCCATATATATTTATATTAGGGGTGCAACAATACATGTACCCGTATCGAACCGTATCGAACAATAAAGATTTTAAAAATTTACTTTATC